TATATCGCGACAAATAAATTCTCGATGTATTCGATGTAGCGAATTTTATTTCACATTCGCACTTACAATCACCCAAATTACAGATTTACGGTTACTGCTATCTGCAGTATCACAATTAGTACACTCGAAATGCCAGAATACCACTGACTAGTTGCTGGCTAACTCGGCGGTAGCTCCAGGACTCACTGACTGACTCAGTACAACTCGACTCGGCGACTGTTACAGTACAACAACTGTGAATAGCCTTCGCTGCTCCCTATGTAGCCCCGATCGGACAATACGGCCACGTAATAGGCACCCTTGTTGCTAGCCACGCTGTCCGGTTACGTCACCGCTGTTGATTCGCCTTGCATAGTTACCCGGTTACGGGGCTTGGCTATCTTCGGCTCCGCTCGGCTCTCTTCGGCTCCGCTCGTGACGTCACTGCGCATGGCTGCCAGGATGCGGGGTGATTACTCGCCTATTACGCGAGCGTTACGTTACCGCTGAGGGGTGGGAGGGGTCAACATGTCACAATATGAACAGAGAGGTGGGGTTTTGTCTCAGCAAGTCTTGGAAGCCTCTCATCTGTTCCTTCAAGAAACCTGTGAGACATGACAGCAGATCCACAAGGCCACGCAAGTTCATGCCCAACTCGCATAGCAACCCCGAAGCTTAGGGTTAATGCCATCCAATTAGCCTTGCCTTTCTCCCCCCGCCACAATATTCTACACCTGCTCTGGCCTGCTACCTGCTGGCCCACCTCCCCAGACCCTTCCCCTCTCCTCTCTACTTTTCCCATGCAGCCCCTCTCCCTTCTCTTCCTGCTCTTATACAGCTGGGTTTATTCTCGACATTAGTCTGTTAGCACCTGCTCATGCTGGTTTTTTGCTTGCAGATTTTCTTCTTTTTTTCTCCCACCCTGATGATGGAGGCGATACGTTCCTCCGAAACGTTGTTTAACACCATATGTACATGGCATCACATCCCAGAAGACTGCTTTCTTCAAATATACATTTGTTTGCCCCCTTCATCTGTTAAGGGTTAATAACACCACACATCATCCTTCTAGTACATGATGCCGTATGAACTGCCATTCTGGAACAGTGATAGTATGGTTTTCTGTGCTTTTTTATGCTTATGCCAGTTATAGTGCATGCATGTAGGCAGCTAAAGGTCACCGCTAAAGAAAGTGAAATGGTTTGTTGTTGAAAGCGTTTTACATTAATGAAACAGTTACTTCTGTTTGTATTGCCCATGTATATTTCAGATGGTAAAAAGTCAGCCACAATATATTATTTGGGTTGATTTAGATGATTGGAAAGGTATTTATCTAGAACAGAAGAGGCTACTCTGAGATTTCAGGCTCTTACCTCAGTGGCTGATAGGATATAATACTGTGTAGTTTGATATAAGTTTACCATTGTTTCAGAGGAAAACGCTGCTCTCATCTTCAGATTTGAAGAGTAAGAAGGCAGTAGGTACCCCTGAAATATCCATTAACTTCTGCCAGACTACATGGTGTCACATATCAGAAGATAATAAATACTCTTCAAAAGAGTCTGTTGTTTGTGTGAGGTATCATGTTGAACACACACGAGGGGTAAGGAGTGCTGGACATAAAGGCTCTTGTTTAGGTCACTGATCGTACTGACTGCCCTTTCCTCTTCAGTAAAAATATTCAGAAATAAGATTGTACTGTCAGATGTATTTGTAACGGTTTCATTACGTCACAACGTGTTACAGTTTCCACTGTCAGCAGAAGTTAATTGTTATGAAGGAAATGAAGCTATGGAATATAATAAATTGGAAAAGTCAGATATGGATGATGGTGAAGAAGATAATATAAGTGAGGATGAAGATGATGAGAATGATGATGTAGGTCCAGAAAAGGAGGAACGGAATGAAGGTAATGATGACAGTGGAATGGACGAAGAAAATAAGCCACTGAAGAGGAAATACGTTGAGGTGAGTTTAATTCAGTGACTAAAATGTACTGTGTAAGATTTGAGGTTGTCTTGTCAGTGACTGGGATGTAACCATGTGTAGTCTAGTGGAACTCACTTGACCTGGAGAAGTGAATTACACACAGATTAACTTTTTCTAATTTGTTTCTGATTTCAATTTATAGGATGAAAAGGAAGGTACAAAGGAAAAACGAAAGAAGGTTAAGCCAGTGGACGCTGGTCTGTATAAGCCTCCAACTGTGAAGGAGCTGAATCAGCTCAGGGAGACAGAGAATCTGTTCCATTCAAATCTGTTTAGGTTACAGGTATGATTAAATTTTATAAATTGTAAGATCTCTTAGGTGTGAAGATGATAAAATAGTTATTAATGATATTGGCAAAGTTTATCTGATATTAGTTGATTAGTTTTATATGGGTACATTTCTAAAATATCTAATCAATTGTTTGTTAAAAGCACAGGAGAAGTTTCTTTTCTGATGTGGTAGAGTTTGTCAGCATTTTCACAGCTTTACCCATTTGCTTGATTTTATAATTATGGAACTAATTTGTGCATTAGGGAGCCTATACATGTACAAGTCTGGCTCGCGAGTCTGACTCAGCTCGGGTTCCAATGAGCCAACCTCGTCTGTGTGTGGGTTGCCACGCTCATCCGTGTGTGGTGAAATTAATCTGAGCCCTGCTCCTCGCCGAGCCAGACTCGTACATGTATGGGCCACCTTACTCTAATTAGGTTGGCACAGCATAAATGTGGCTGATGTGTATCCTGTAGGAATGTGATTGAATCTTGTTTAGAACACAGCATTGTACCAACATTTTGAATGAATGTGAGAATGGGGCCTTGAAATATGCCATGACACCTCATTCCCCATCCTTCTCACTTCATTACACACAATTGTCATTTTAGTGAATGCTGAACAACATTTGCAGTGTATACAGCATTTTTAAATATGCTATCTGCAAACCGTCAGACACAGTAATGGGATTCTGCATAACAGATAATTTGTATGTACTTCTTAAGTTGAAAGGAATACATTTTGAATGCATTAGTAGTGTAATGGATGCCCTCATTGTCACCGATTGCAAAACTCCCATCTAATCCAAGCTTTTCTCAGCATATGTAAAAAGTAAAAGTAACGCTATCGCTGTAACAGGCCTTGGAGGTCCATAGGGTTGTGAGATGTTGAGGTTCCCACATTTTCCAGACAGTCGGCTCATAGATGGCGGTAAGGTTGTCAACCTTACGTGCCGGCTATACTTTACTCCCCAGGAAAATTATTGAATTAATTCCTGGTACTCATTTCTGTTAGAGGCTGAGTTGACCTCAGGGCCGTAGTGTGGCTGGAAGGATTAGGTAAATTGAAAAAAATTCAAAGACCTCATTGGGATTTGATCCTGTGACCTTCCGGCTTGTAGGATAGTGCCTCAACCAACTACGCTACCACGTGCCCCACTCAGCATATGTTTCAAAGTTTTCTTAAGTTGGACAAGGGTACTTGTTGACATGTTGATGTTGATGGATAATTTTCATGTCTTAACTTGCCAGATTTATCACCATAATTTCGTAAAACAATTTCTAGATATGCTCATTCTCTGTAGGCATAGTGCAGAGATTGGTCTACATGTCTCTTTGTCGAAACACCATGCCTTGCAAGCAGAAGGAGCATGGAGATAGTTCTCATGCATAAGATGCTGATCTTAGATGGAAGTGAATGGCCAGTTTCTCACTTTCCTTACTTTACCCATGGGAGAAAAGTCTCTGGTAGCAATTAGGTAAAAAGAGTTGGGGGCTTCACGACCGTATGGGCCATAGTGATGAAGAACAAGAAATTCTGGGAAGAATTAATTGCTTGCTTTCCTTTCACTACAGATTGAGTATTTTATGCAACACATACTGCATAGAAAACACTGCAGCAATAGAAAAAACTGCATCCAACATTTCTTCTGTTTCTGTAGGAACATGTTTACCAAGCCAGCAACACCTGTCTTTTTTGGCTCCACTGTTCTGGTTTTCAGGTGTTAGTAGAGGGACATACACATAGCAATGTGACCTCATAAGCCTCCTGTTATTTTTCAAAATAAGGAAAGTGCTAAAAATATTTCAAATAGAACCTGAAAGTGTTTGAACTCATGTATCCCATTGAGTAGGTAGGTGCTGTTACCATTAGGGTTACCAGAAGAGACCCATGCACAAATTTCTTTCTCACCAGTGGACAGTGCTATAAAAGTTATTGCCACCAATTAATGAATAATTTAAATGACCCTGCTTGTTGTCATTTCTCGTGTTATTTCATCTGTACTCTATGTTTTTGTGTGATTCTAGATACAAGAAATGTTGAAGGAAGTCAATATAAGGGCCAAATATAGGACCTTGTTTCACTGTTGGATGGAAGATTTCAAGAAAACTCTTGAAAACATTGAAGAATATGAAGATTATGATGTAAGTAGACTGTTTGTGTAATAGTTTCGTAAGATCATTGTGATAGGTTACCCAGTGCTTAGCACCGTGTGTAAGGGGTATGGAAGTGAAGTTGCCCGTAGTCTTCTTAGAAAGCACGTGTAACTGTGAGCGTGTCTGATTCCAGTCACATTTGGTTAGTTTCCATTGCTGTCCTTACTGAAACCTTTAATGGTTTTCCATGTTGAATGACTGGATAATAACACACTGGAAATGATGTTGAAGGAAGCATTTGTGGCCTAATTTAAGGTACTCTCCTAGCTTTTACATGGAACATCTGGGGAAGACTGCAAAAGACCTTGGTCAGGATAGTTGGGTCCCCATCGAAGATTCATACCAGCCACTTCCTGCATACAAGTCATAAATGTTACCACTGGAGCCAGCTTGCCTGATATGTGCATTTGATACAGTACTGTTGAATGATCTATGAATCAGTTGGCAGCAGATGCAAGAGTTGTTACCTTCTTGGTCAGCTTCTTGTTGTGATCTTTTTACTCATTGAATGGGAACCTGCCATGCAATTTATGCTAATGATGACAAATTTTCTGGCACCTATACCAGGTATTACACCCATATTCCTGGCCTTAGCCTGTTAGTCATTTGAGAGAACTGGTGTTCATGATGTTAATGTTTATTGTTTTTCTAGATAATGGATCGCAATTGGCTGAAAGAATTTAATTTGAAAATTCCTATACCCTACCTACCTCAAATAATGGGAGTCTTCAAGTTCATAAAACCAACATCAGTTTCAGTGGTTGGATCATTTGGAGCAGGCTGTTGTCTTGGGCCCAATATCAAGATTGACTTCAGAGTTGAAATGCCACAGGTAATGAATATGGAATAGCAGTATGCAAAGAAGTGCACTGATTGTACTTTGATCCTTTCATGGGATCAGTGGATTTTATCTCAGTATGGTGCTTCTAGCAGCTGTTGGTTGAGTCTAATAAGAAAACATTTCACTCTGCACTTAAAAGATAAAAACAGCTGTTGATTTTGATATCTTCTGAGTATATTTTAAACCACTAACACCATTCATCAACTCTTAGTGCTAATTTTTGTCCAGAGGCATAATAATGTACAGCTATAATTATTATATTTAGTTACTTTTATTGTGTAGCAAGTTCCATCGGACTGCACACAGTACTATCAGATGAAGTGATGCAAGCTACAACTCACCTTCAGTAATCAAACAGTAGGAGAGCTGTGTGAGAGTTGAATTCCAGTCAACAAGCAGTTGTGCCATAGTCTATGAAAAACAGGACAAAGATAAAAGTAGTTTCGCTGTGAACATGATAAGTATATGACGTACTACATTTAATATTTTGACACAGCACTGTAGAATAAATGCCACTGTGAAACAGCTAAAATCTGCCATGATATAAAATCCCACCAACTTGAAATATGAGAGCCCAAAAATAATGGAATTTTATTTAAATTGGAAGACATGTCACATTAAAGGAGTCAGAAGGACTTCATATTACTGTAGTTGGGCCACAGGGTCCAGTGATATTTTGGAAATTTTAAAAATAATGTGGCATGCCTCCAGAGAGCCGGAATGGTTGAGGAGATCAGAGTTGATTTCCTAGGCCACGAGCAACGTTCCGGCTACTACGGCTAGGAAGTAGAACACATCCATTGCTATACAGCAGCTAGCAATATCCAAGCAACAATTGTTTGTTGTGTAACAGCAGGCAGAATTAACCCTTCAACAGGGTATTCCCTATTCAGTCTGAGGGCAAGTTGTAACAGTCCAACGTCTGCCAGAGACCAGAAGAGTTGTATTCGATTTTAGCAGGAAAGAGTTCTTATCTGACTAGAACAGAAGAGTTCTTGTCTGACTAGAGCAGAAGTGTTATAACATTGGAGAAGAAACGTCTAAAGGACATTATAAGTGAAGAATAACTGTGTGAGTGTAAAAATGTCCAATAAAGGTATTCATTCAAATACAAGAACCCACACAATTTCTTATTGCGTTGCGTAGCAAACACATGACAGTATTTTTAAAAAATGGTATTTGGTAGGTACAATAATGAAACCAGCCGTTAGGAAGAACAGTTTGTAATAATGACATAATCGAAGGTTGATAGAGGCCAGCTAATAAAATCTAAGGAGAGTGGATATTCAAACCAAGATTGTTGTTATGCCCTTGGGAGTTAATGGTACTGGATGAATCAGATTGAATTACTGAGATTGTTTAAATGTGTTACATATATTACATATCTTGCTCATATAATTTGAATGAAATTTGATTAAATTTGTAAAGTTTAGTCCAAGAATCTTTTTTTTTTTCATGAATTCAAAGCATGATCTCCATTAAATCTCCAGTGCTGACTGCCTAAAAAATAGATTATGGTGGACCTATTGTGATTTAATCAGAAACTCTAGATGTGTTTACATTTCAGATTTGCTTTGATGTGAAGGACTACCTAAATCACAAGTATCATGTGAAACGAGCGCTCTATCTAGCGTACATTGCTGGAAAACTGCAGGAAAGTGAGCTGGTGGAAGAAATGCAATTTTCACAGAGCTGTGGTAATCCTTTGAAGCCAGTCCTTGAGGTGAAGCCCAAGGGAAAGCTGGGTAAACGGGTTATTATTTTGGTGCACCTGACATCTCCTGCTGGTGTCTTCAAACTCTCACGTTTCTCTCCAGAGAAAAACAATGTACGCCCAAATTGGTATTTTAAAGAGAATGAAAGAGTGGAAGAAGGTAAGAGATCTTTCCATTGAAGATATTGTATTTAAATTAGCTAATTTTGTAGGATCTCATGGCATGGACTTTGATGTCAGTTGCAGGCCCAGATACCTGAGAAATTAGAGACATTTGTAAAGTTTAGTCCAAGAATCTCATTAGTGATAAAAATATTGTCATGCATTAGTGACTAGACATGGGGTTTGGATTGATAAATGCATCTACTAAACTCTTACGACTTGTAACTGCAAAGAATTATAGCACTGTTGCTAATTTATGCACTTTACAATTTGCTATAGTATGCACTAAAGAGACCACTGGGAAGGCCAAGGAGTAGGTGGGTGGACAATATTAAAACAGATCTTACAGTGATAGGATGGTATGGTATGGATTGGATTGATCTGGCTCAGGATGGGGACCAGTGGAGGGCTCTTGTGAACACTAATGAACCTTCGGGTTCCATAAAATGTTGGGAAATTCTTGAGTAGCTGCAGAATTGGCAGCTCCTCAAGAAGGGCTCAGCTCCATGAGCAAGTAAGTAAGTATAGCATGCACTAAGTTTTCTCAGTTTATCTTTACTAGTTGTTGCCTAGTAATGGGTCCCAGCAATGCTCTCTTCTGCTCATGTTGATACTGGAGAGTGACTGTCTCGCACCTGACCTATGTCTCAGAATATCCTTATTTTTTCAACTTATATTTTCATGCTCGCTGTATAGTGTGGGGGTGGACCCAATAGAAAACACCGTTTCCAATATTTCCTCTCTTGTTGTGCATGTAGTTGTTGCTGTGAAAATCGTCTGTCACACGTTGTTTAATAGACATTAGATAGCAGCGGATGGCTTCTCATGTTAAATTATACTGTGATGTAGTCAATGGCTAGCAATTCATAGGCAGCATAGTCTAGGAGATTGTTGCCCCGGAAATGAGAGTCTAACAGTGGGGTTTCCACCATTACAAATGAATTGTTTGAAGCAGTTACGTATACCCACTTTCATTGCATAGCAGCAGGCAAAATTATCCCTTTGGCAAGGTGTTCCCTATTCAGTCTGAGTGCAAAATATAGCAGTTTGTGTTTTTGGCAAGAGACCAGCAGAGTTCTTATATGACTAGAGCAGAAGAGTTTGTATCCAACAAGGAACCAAGGACATTTGAGCTCCGAGTGGAGCAGGAGACACTTCACCAAGATCAGCCATGCAAGTAATTGTAATAGTGAAGAGGAAACGTCTGACGACTTTATAAGTGTGAACAATTGTATTTCCAAGTGTAAACGTGACTGTCCAATAAATGTATTCGTTCAAATCCGAGAACCTGCACAAATTTCTTGTTGCGTTACCTAGGAAACGCGCAACAATACCATCATCATGTGAAATACATTCCTTGTATATGGTATGCACTGTTAAGAAAATTAAGAATAATGAAATTTGATTTCGTGGCTGCTCTAATTTTTACTGCACAGAGAGTATGTACATCACTAATCTGTTCTGTCTTAACCTTTTGACCAAGAAGTTTGGTGTGATGGTGACAATGTAGACTTACGTTCAGGAGCTGGAACACTAACTAGCCTGCATTTTTTTTCCTCAGTGCTTCCAGGCAAATGCAGGGATGTGCTTCAAATAGGCCATGACTGCTTCCTTCAGAATCCTTTCCACTTAATTATTCACCAATCCTCGTATCATTCAACATTATGTAGCCTGAGATACTCAGTAATGTAATAAACCACAAAGAAATTAACCCTTTGAGGTGTACGAACAAACAGAAGATTTCGTCCATATTTGTGTATGTTTGCCCTGAGAAGCCAGCAAACTTGTCATATTCTTAACCGTTCAGCGTGGTTTGACGTGTATGTTTCGTCAGGTATTTAAATCGTCTGGGGGGGTTCGACGTGTATGTTTCGTCCAGCTGCACACCTATGTTATAACGCCCATAATAATTGATGGTTTTGCTGTAGATTGTTAGATTTTTCGCTGGCCTGTTGTCACAAGTACTATATATAATGAGGCATTTGTTTAGCTGCGCTAAGTCATCGTTACATATGCCTGTCTTGCAGCAAAGTTCCTGTTGCTCTTGGGAGAGGTTTCCTCGTTCAAACTGTTATGAATGGCGTGTTTTCTTTCCTATGAAGTTATAAACAGCAGAGACGTGATATGTGCTGTGTTTATAATATCATATTGCCCTGAGCTGGCCACACTAACACACTCAATTGTAATTCTTAGAAGAGGGATGTCCAAAAATTTATTCTTGCAACATCGATTGATTTCGCACAGTACATAGCACCCAGTTCTTAGAAAAACGCCACGAATTAAGGCAGAACACTATGGTCACCCCCTATGACGATACTGGTGTGTGTGGGGTGGGAAAAGAACTCATTCCTTCATGTATTATCGCTCCAGTTGACGCCATTTTATCGTACTGACCTTGGTGGTCGTTTCGAGGGATGACCATAAATATTTTTTTTGAGCCAGCTAAGCTCTGCTTTCGTGCACTACATACCAGCCAGTTCTTAGAATAACTTCATGAATTCTGTGGTCACCCCTACGACATCTACTGCCGCCAAAATGGATGGAATATCAAAGGCATAGCAACAACCCCTTGTTATGATAACTCGTAACGTTGAATTTACTGCAGCTGACCTGACTAGCTAAACTGCTCACGGAAAGACATTTCCTTCAACTATACCCCTCACGGGGAAGAAGGCAAGGCCGCACAGAAGCTGTGTGGTTAAAAAAAAAGAGCCAAAGAAAAGATACACAATATTGGAGCGATGAATGTGGGGCACCGTTGGGTTACACGAATGCTTCAAGGCCTTCCTTACACTGCTCAAATTCTGAACCACCTGCTTCCTTTGACGAGATACCGGGTGCTCATATTATAAGGTAAGGTTATAAAAACCATCTTTTAAGATCATTTTAGTGAAAGTTTCATGCTTCAAGGCGTACCATTCACTGCTCAAATACTAAACAACCTGCTTCAATTGCCGAGATACAGGGCGCTCATATTATAAGGTAAGGTTATAAAACCACCTTTTAAGATCATTTTAGTGAAAGTTTCATGTTCCTATCTCATAGAATTTAAGAACAATGATGAATAAATCATTTTCGAGCAAAATTTAAATGGCCGGCTGAATATATTACCGCCGGAGACGCAGCCGCGGAATTTAAATGACCGCGCCAAAGGGTTAAAAAGGGGTGAACCTGGATATGATAAACATGTCACCCAGCATGGATCATATGTAAATTATGTGTCATGTTTGCTAAATGTAATTTTTTTTTCACTCAAAAACAGTATACAAAACTTCATTCTAAAAGGTTAATGCATTTTTGAGCATGACTTGCTTTAATTTTTACACTGATTCTATCCCTACATCTGTCAAATCAAGTTTATTGATTTATGACAACTCTGTTCTCAGTCTTTTGTACTGCATCCATACAAACACTTCTTTGCAGGGTGAACTTTTGGAAAAATATAACTCTATGGGAACCAAGGCGAAACTTGGAATTATAGGTACTGTATTTTCTTTAATACCACACACTCTTGAATATTCCGTGCACATTCAGTGTTTGAGAAACATAAGAATATAAAATGTTTATATGAATTTATCGGGGGCACACAGTAGCGTAGTTGGTTGAGGCGCCATGCTACAAACCAGAAGGTCGCGGGTTCAAGTCCCAATGAGGTCATTGGATTTTTTTCACTTGGCCTAATCCTTCTGGCCACACTATGGCCCTGGAGTCGACTAAGCCTCTAACAGAAATGAGTACCAGAAATTAATTAAATAATTTTCCTGGGGAGTAAAGTGCAGCCCTCACAACCCTATGGGCCTTCACGGCCTATTACAGGGATATCTTTACTTTTACTTTTTTATGTGAATTTATTGAAGTGTGCTGAGGATAAGTGTGTAATTTGTATTATCTTGAAATTCACATTTGATGATGTTCTTTATCTATTTCTGCTATTATTTTTGCTAAACTCTCATACTTTTCTGGTTCTGACATTCCTCCACTGGGAGACATTTGCTTCTTTTGATACACATATTGTTTCTTGTAAACTGTGCCCACAGTATATCTCTGGTTAATACTGTACACCCAAACTGCTGCAACATATGCACATAGCTTCTTGTCTGTTTCAGGAACTGCATTATATTTTCTACCATCAATACAGTTTCTAATTTATTCTACCTCTTGAATTATTTTTAGTTTCTCGCCCTCCAAGAACATTTTTAAATGCCTGTCTGTAGAATTCATGTTTAACACGTGCATACTGTGTCACAGGTTAAAATCCATTGCTACATAGGGGCATGTGGTAGTGTAGTTGGTTGAGCCACTATGATACACACCGGAAGATCATGGGTTCAATTCCCATTGAGGTCATCGGATTTTTCAGTAGACCTCATTCTTCCAGCCGCACTATGGCCTGGGGTTCGACTCAGCCTCGAACAGAAAGGGGTACTAGGAATCATGCTGGGGGTGAAGGGTAGCCGGCGCATAAGGCTGACAACCTCACTGCCATCTGTGAGCCAGTTGTCTAGAAAATGTGGGAGCCCCAACATTTCACAACCCTATGGGCCTGCACCACCTGTTACAGGGATACCTTTACCTTTTACAACATGGACTGCTGCGCATTATGAGAAAGGAAGCAGAAGTTGTGAAAGTTAAGTTTTCACCTGGAATGAGTAGTGTTGCCTGCCTCATAACAAGCAGAATATGCATATTTACCAGAATCATTACAAATCAACTGTGCACCATTGCCAGGCTCATCATGTACTGCTGCTAACCTTGTCATAAATAAACTGTACACCCAAATCTTTGGTCACATTTTTCCTAGGAGAGGGGTGTGGGATATCTGAGGAAATATGTTTAGCTATGTGCCCTTAGTTGTAACTGCTATATTTTTGGTGTGGATTTCAGAGTCCCTTTCACCAACTCCGCATTACAATTGTAGTATACTGAAAGATCTTGTCCTGGCTGCAAATGAGGATTATCGCACTAACATTCTGGAAAATAACCCAAACCTGAAAGATGGAATTTTACTTCTGAAGGTTTGGTTGAAACAAAGAGGACTAGATCAGGTTAGCAGTTGAAATTTGTTTGTTCTGTTTCAGGGCTATATTTATGCATGGTAGACAAAGATCATTTTAGGCAGTGTTCTAATTTATTTGTGTTCTGGATGAAATGAAGATTTCTGCCACCTCAGTGTCATTCTAAGCTTATAGTATGTACTGCTTATAAAACAAATTGGATGCTGATTTTATATGTGTTTATGAATTTGGAAATGTCCTGTTTCAGACTTACATCTGAGACTTGTGTTTGGCATCTGCTGCTGTGATCTGTTAATAACATACTTTGTGTTTGGTTGTTCCTTTTATGTGCATTATATTTTCATTAATATCTGCAACTGCCTATAATACCCAGCAGCATAATGTTAAATTGTATACCATTAAAATGGTAGGAAGGATGTGGAAAGAAGTGACCTTAGGCTGTTTTACAGCACTGTCCCAGCATTAGCCTGCAGAAACTAAGGAGAGCCGTGAAAAACATGCATAAAAACTTTTTTTGTATGGTTTATGTTTCATAAAGTACAATGACAAATTATTTTTGACTTCTCTTCGATGGGTATGGGTGGGGGGCGATTTCCCCGGGGGTAAAGTGGCTGAGGTGTGAAGATGACCACTCACCTCTGTTTAGTGCAGAGGTCAAAAATGGTGGAGTTATGCCTCCACTCCCCCATATGTCTTCATGGCATAGTGCTTAATTAATGACACACGGGGACAACTTTACCTTTTGGGTGGGCGAGGTTGATATGTTAAAATCCTTTCTGAAATTCTGCCAGAGCTGAACCAGTTAATTGTTTTTTTTCTTCTAATTTTGTATGTATTATACAGGGTGGGGCGCAGAAACTTTCTTTTTTTGAAAGCGAATAAAAGAAAAATTATTGCTGATAGACAAAATTTATGTTTAGCTAATAAAAGAACATACTTTAAAGTTTTAAACCATGTAGGTTTAAACAAAATATCTCGAAGGTGGTGGCCACCGTTCTCTATGCACTGATGCAACCGTTTTCTGAAGTTCCCCTCTGTACGTTCCAACATGTGCACCGGAATTTGGGCTACTTCCTGCCGAATAATCTTCAGCAGAAGCAGGTTTGTGGGGCAATGTTTAAAAACCTCTGCCTTGAGGTATCCCCATAAAAAAAATCACAGGTTGTTAGATCAGGTGAGTGCGCTGCCCACTGGATGTCATCTCAAAGCGAGATGAGCCATCCGGGGAACTTTGCCCTCAAAACTGTCGTCGAAGCTTGGGCTGTGTGGGCCGTGGCACCATCCTGTTGGAACCAGACATTTCCTAGATGCATTTCTTCAAGAGCTGTTTCGAAAAGTTTTTAATCATGTCCACATACCACTGTGAATTGACAGTAACTGCATGATTGTATTCTTAAAAAAAATAAGGGCCAATAACTCCAACTCTCGACAATGCACGCCATACTGTCATCACTGTGAAGTGGCCTCTCATGGAGCTCTCTGGGATTGTTACCACTCCAATAGCGCATATTCTGCTTGTTGACATATCCGGATAGGTGAAAATGTGCCTCATCACTAAAGAAACCAAGTGTGTCAGGGGGTAAAGTTTCCAATAACGTTTCTTACGCCATTATTGAGTTTTGGAAATTATGTGGTGACAATTCTTGCAGAACAACCATCTTATAGGGATGGAAATGAGGATGTTCGTGAAGAATTCGGCGCATTGAACGATTGGATATGTCTAGGGCAACTTCATGTTTGCAAGTGGAGCGTCTTGGAGATCTCAAAATCGACTGTCGAACTGCCTCCACATTTTTTGGCGTCATAAGGGTCCGTTGTCATCCTGATGATTTTTTCACCACACTCCTGGTTGTCCTGAAGTTCTTTACCCATAAAACAATTGATTTCCGGTCGGGAACCAAACCTCTGGGCTTAAATCTGAAGTGAGTACAGAATGCACGCTGCACTGCCACATAGGAATGGTTGTTTGAAAAATAGGCTTCGACAGCAAACGCACACTGCTCACTCGTCCACCTCATGTTTCCTACTGAGGGGTATTAGACAGAAACTTCTGTGACTGCTGCATTCGCCGAGCCTGTCCCCACTTTTCTGCGACCTCCCCTCCTTTAACAATGTGTCTTCACAAAAAGGAAGTTTCTGCGCCCCACCCTGTACTAAAATGCCATTATTTGTAAGATTTGTAGTTCCCTCATAATATTTTTTAGTTCAGTAGAGTTTTGCCTGTAGTAAATGACAGTCAAAGTCAGCATAGAATTCAAAATGACAAAGAATTCATTCCGAAAATATGTGTGCTCTCTTGGTGGAGTATAACTTTCTGCTTGTGTTTTCCTATAAAACTAATTTAACATTATGTGTATGCTGAATACTTTTTTTTATTTATGTAATGAAATTTTTTGGACAACAAGATCCATATTACAGAATCTTAGCTCCTGTTGAATTTAAATATAAGGGACTAGAACTCTTATTGAAGATCTCCTACATAAAGAAAGCCCACAAATTAGAGATCCTCAGTAAGATAGTTTTCTTTACTTTGATTTGTATCTGTTGTAGGGTTATGGCTGTTTCAGTGGCTACATCATGTGTATGTATGTTCTGTACCTGCTGCAGTCTCGTCGCATTAACAGTGTCATGAGCAGTTACCAGGTTGCAAGAAACACCTGGAACAGTCTGGGTGAGTTTACTATATGATATTGCCACAGTAAACTCAAGAACAGCAGCTGAATTAAATGTTCCCCAAAATTGTCATGTTCAGTCATTATGTTCTTTTAGAGGATTTTGTACAAGACTCCAGAAATACAACTTGAATTTAGTAAAATAAATACAAGGCTAAATATTAGCCTGATTTAATGTCTCTAATGGACAAAATTTTAATTTTCATATTTTATTCTTTATGCTTTTAAGTAACAAGGAAAGAAACAAAAGATCTGACTTGAGTGGTATCAAACATGTCCTGCATTTAATGTTCTGTTAATTTTTTTGTGAATGCAGTTTTTATCTGTTAAATCACGTAGTGTACAACTAATTTGTAATTTTATTTACAGCAAAAAGTAACTGGACTACAGATGGTATCAGCTTAGCACAATCATTACCCCAACAGTCTGTTCCTAATTTCCATCATCATTTCGAAGTTGTATTTATTGATGTGACTGGCTCCTGCAATTTTTGTGCTAACATGAGCAAGGAAACTTTCTTGTGGGTATGTATTGTATTGTATACATGTATCTGTGCTAAACAGTCAATTTCAAGGTGTTATGTTATGGGTACAGCAGCTTGTTAAGCATTAAAAGTATTATTGACATTTTGGTTCCTCCCTCAGGGGTGTTGAAGGAAACCATGTTTCTGTGAAGCACTGGTAGTATGTAAATTTCTTAATATAGCACTGTACCCAGAAGTCGATACAGTGGTCGCCATGAAATCCTCAAATGTCAGTCTGATTTGTATTATATTGTCCTGTTTTTACTTATCTCTGCTAGTGACTTATTTAATTTGCTTCTGTTGCATGGTACATTTAATAAAATTAATTAATTTAGGGCACTCACCTTTGGTGTAGTACAGTATAGGATTCTGAAGGCTTTGACCTTGCAGCAGTGCAGTGCATTACAGTCACCTTGAGCTTCTCACAGATTGTTGAGCCAGTTGAGTAGTAGGGTCAGACAGTCCTGTCTCTTTGGACCACTGAAGACTGGCTGCTTGGATTGAACAAGCCTGTAGCATAACAGTTTATACAATGCTGCAGCAGATGCTGAACACTGACTCATCCAATTTCTCTTTACTGAGCACTAGGCCTTTTTATTTAAAAAAAAAAAAAGCTGTAGGCTTGTTGTGTCTGCTAGCAGTCTGAATTGTTGCAGCCTGACTAGATGGGAGAATTGTCAGATTCCTCTGCATTGCACTGTATTTATCCATGTGGTTGTAACATGTCATCATATAAAATCACAAATAGGGTTAATGTGATTAATTAGGAAACACTTGTCATAATGCTTTACAGAATTGTTATTTTTTGTTATAGTAGTAAAATTTATCCCAGGTAAAATAGTATATATTGTTTGAAGGCCTGTCACTATACAAAATTTTGAAACTCTATGTGGGATGGTGCTAGTGGTGTTCCCACTTTGCATGTTTGTCTTGATGATGGAGTTAAAAATTATCAATGTGATGAGGTGTCAAATGGCATGATCTTACTTTTTTTTTGGTGAAAATTAGTCAGTTAGTGTTCACTGTATTGCTGTTCGTAGTTGAATCAGGGAACAGACACAGGTAGCTTACTGTTAGAGTCACAAAAAGGATTCACTTTACCTTCTGAACGCAGTTGAAATTATGTTTCTGTTCCTTTGCATACAGGTGAAACAAGAATGTGACTTGGCAGTAAAATGTTTGGATAATCCAAATATTAACAGCTTCCAGGCCCTCTTCATGACATCCATGCCTTTCTACCGTCAATTTGACCACATTATAAGGTATGCTACATGCTGTTTTGAAGTGAGATTTTATTATAACAGTTCCTGAGTTGTGTGAGGTACAGTCCAAGCTGTCTGTTCAGTAGCAGTAGCAGATGTAGCAGTCCAGTTGTTATGGTCTTTTGTGACAAAAATCCGTGGTTGGGTTTTACTGCATGACTGTCTAAAAGTACGTCCATTGATGGTCCTGCCCACATTCTGCTTCTAAAGTGTGTTTAAACTGGTACGAATTGTTAAATCCGTAGCATGCAGTATGTTATATACTGCATTGATTTTTAATCTTGAAACATTCCTGTTTCAGTAATCGAGTGTTTGCATATGTTGTATGACAGAATCGTGTGACTGTTTACATTGCCAGTTGTTTGTGATTGACGTAGTGGTAATCATGGTTTGGGTAGACATGCTGGTGATCATGGTCAGTGTAGATCAATATTACATACTCTAATCCAACCTGATTTGCAATTTAGAATCATTCTCAATAAAACTGTTGACACAAACATTTCTTACAACTCCTCTCTCTCTCACAAAAAAAAAAGTTCTTTCCCCCTGGATTTCTTTGGTATTAAGAGTTGTCAGTACTTAGGTTCTTGCTGATGACTACTTCTCTGGGAAACACCAGTAATACCAATTGGATGTGATGCCAAGTCAGTTCCTTCCACCTCCACTACCTATTTCCCTAGGATCTATCTTAATGTTTTCCCCCAGTTTGTTCATTAGTACTCTGTTTTCCAAAATGTTTTCCCACCATAAATTCTATGTATATTTCTTGTCTCCACCATCTGAGTTACATACCTGGCCATTCACAAACTTCCTGAATTCATTACACCAGCAGTACTAGCTGAATTTAGTTACTTGCTATGTGATATCCTAAATTATTTGTATGTACAAGTGTTTTCCTGACTGCATTGTTCTTAAACATTCATAATTTATATTCTTCCCTTAATATATCTGCAGTTTCTCACCATATCTGGAGGCTGCCTCTGTATGAAAGTGGCCATGCCATTTTGATGAAGGACCCTCAGTAACATGAGTCTTACATGTTTTCACAATTCTGAAGGAACTACAGTAACACACTATTAATTTATATTAAATTTTATTTCAGGGTGCAAGATTTCACCATGATTAAGAAGCTGGTAGAAGAACACAGTCCTCGAATGCAGAAGTTGGATTATACAGGCCATGTGTATCCTCAAGCATTGAGTCTAATCCTTGAAGTACTGAGGAAAGGTTTGGGCCAACGAGTGAGGCACATCAGTATTGTATTACCGAGTACTGAGCGCTGGCAGCTTTCCAAGTGTCCACCTATGTCAGGTCAACCGATAACACTGGGTTTAACCTTGAATCCAGAGTTTGCTTTCAGCGTTCTGGAAAAGGGACCAGGGGCAAATTTGCCAGAGGTAGGTACTGATGTGGCCATGCTCCCTTCTTAATGTAAAGATATGAACCTGCTACAGTTACTTATATCCTCCTAATCCTCCATTTCATCCATTTTGCTCCTCTTCCACCCACCCTCTATTATTTGATCGTTTTTAGGTTCTTGCATTACACTCCAAATTTCTAATCTGTTTGTGTGTACATGTGCATATGTGTGCATACACTTACCCATGCCTATTGATTTTCTGCTGTATCTCTCAGAAGTTAACATAACTAAAATACTGGCTGTCATTTGTGCTGTATATAATTTATAACATGGGTATTTTCTGTGATCTGCTGTTTGTTATTTTGTGTGTTGACATAGCCACTAAAATGAAACTAAGCCTCATTTGCAAGTTCACAAGCAGGAAAGATGGTAACCGATTCAGTAATTATTCGCAGTAGAAAGGCTGTGTATTGGCACAGCCACCAAATAATATTGTTATACTAATACTAAAAGGTTGACCCAGGCTAAGTGGCACAAAAGATCCTCATGTCTCTAGGAGACCTCTGAGAAAAATTAGGCAAATTTCCTGCCCAAGTAGTTTCCAATTCCTCCAGTAGATGGGGAAGTATGGGGGACCACTGCCAGAGAGGGCTGACCTCGCTGGCAGAATGGGGCTGATAGTGAGCACCAGTACTGGAAGGGCATGGCGACGGGCAGAATAATTAAAGGGGGACGCACAATAGATCAACTGGTCGCAGTGCATGGGGAAACCCACCCCCTCCAAAATAATAATAATAATAATAATAAGCCCCAAAGCCAGTCTGGACTCTGTGGGGAAGAGAAAAAGTTTGCTCCTGCCAGTGGGGTTGAACCCTGCCTCATCCAGCTCATAGCCTATCACTATACTGACTGAACTATCCCGACTCCCAAAATATTGACATTACTGGTAATTATTTTGCTTTTGTGGTTTGTTAAGGCATTTGAATTCCGAAAATTCTGGGGCAAGAAGTCAGAAGTGCGTCGGTTTCAAGATGGAAGTATATCGGAAGCTGTTGTATGGAATAGTGGCTCAGCAACATTGGCTCAGAAACGAATGATATGTCACAAGATTGTTACTTACCTTCTCAATGAAAAATTTGGCTTTCCCACAGAGAATGGAATCATATATGTGGCAGATCAGTTGGATTCATTGCTAGAGCGCAGCATGGTAAGAATTTAAACATTTCTTAGCATCATGTTTTAATCCACTGGTTCTCAAGAGGCTAAATCTGTTTGCTAAATTAGAGAACAATTCCTTTTGTCATTGTAGTGGTACTGATGATGAGGTTACATCGTGTAGGTCCATAGGTGGTTAATATTTCGAAGGAACCTGCTGCCTCTGTCTTCAGGGTGGAACTTCTAAAGATGTAACTACACAGTGTCCTAAGTGAGAAGGCCACCGTGTTAAATTTCACAGCTTCAGAACCCTCAGATCTCATTTTTATATGCTGTTTCAATTTATATTAATATAGTCTTTATAGGATATTTAATTTAGAATGTATTTATTTTGTAATAATCCTGCATATTTAATGCACCAGAGAATGAATACTTGTAAAAGTGAATGCTTGGTTTCAGTCCCTATATTCATTATCTTGAGTAGAGATACTTACGATACTGATGACCTCTTTACAGAGACTAATGTGTAGCATGTAGAATGCATCAGAAGTTCACGTGATGTAAAGCCAGTAACGAGTCACATGATACATTTGTGTTTATAATTGTATAGCTACTTCCCGCTGATTTTGAGTATGGTACTGGTGAAGAAGCAACAGTGAGAGTTATTGGTGCTCTAGACAGTCTTGGGAAACAATTACGGCAGTTGAACGACATTCCGCTGGAAGTGAGTGCAGTTCAAGGAACATCATCAGTGTGCCGCTACTGTGATGTATTCCCACCTCTCTCATCTTCATGTAAAGTACCTAAAGAGGTTAGGAAAGAAGGAAAGAGCCACTTGCTGCCTACAGAAAATGCGCTAGTTATAGCCCCTCGTTGGATCACTCCTGTTGATGGTAGGTAATAATTACTCTTAGCAGCTTACTTAATGTCTTGTACTTGAACATGCTGTACTACTAATCTCCAGCTGGTGCCGAGGTCAAGAAAAAGTGGGTCTATATATCCAGTCCTCCATACATCTTCATGATGTAGTGCTTAATTAGTTAAGAACAGGGACAACTTTACCTTTTACTTGAATATGCTGTGACTCATTTCATTTAAAGATTTGAACATTTTGTGATTGGGATATTAATTTCTCCTTGTGATGTCTCTTATTACTTTTTTGGTAATTCTTTTTTTTTATGTCATATATTTTCTCTATGGATTTCATGTAATGAGTAGTGTTATAGAATTTCAGTTGTTGTACAGCATTATGAAATGATTCAAATTCATATTATTAAATTCAAGGTCAGACAAATAAGTTTCGAGACTCATTTTTAATTTTATGCTGGGTGATCTGGCAAAGCTGTTACTTGCCATGCTAGGTGATGCGACAAGACAGAGCTCACATGGAAAGTTTGGATAAACTGTGTTCAGTATTCGTTGAACAGTAGCCCATTAGATCACTGTGTGTCATCGACTTTGTCCTGATGTGAAAATGTAGTGTCCGATGGAACAGAGAGTGAATGTGAAATTTTATGTTAAACTGCAGAAATTGCTGAGTGAAACATTAGAAATGTTAAAAACAGTTTATGGTGAATCTACTGTGAGGGAGAGTAATGTTTCTAAGTGACACACACATTTCAGAGAATGCAGAAAATATGTGAACAACGCTAAAAGGTAAGATGGTTCTCTAATGAAGCAAACAGATGTGAATGTCACAAAAATCAGGGAACTTGTTGATCTGACCACCAGTTAACTCGCAAGAAGATAGCTAATGAGCTTGATATGAGCAAAGAGACTGTTAGGAAAATTTTAGTACAGGATCTTGGCGTGAGAGTTGACAGCGAAGCTCATGGCACAAAACTTGATGGAGGAACAAAAGGACAGCTGTCTCACTGTGTGCATGGACTTTGTGGAACAACTTCAAGAACATAATTTTTTTGGATCATGTCATCACTGATGATGAAACATGGTGTTATCAGTATGATCCTGAGGCCAAAGAAGCCACAGATGTCAAAGTCCAAGATCAAAACAGTGTTGATTTGCTTCTTTCACATAAGGAGTATCATCCACTTGGAATTTGTATGCAAAGGGGCCAGTGTTAATCAGACATTCTGTGTGGAGGTGTTGAAAGGCTTATTGATGCCATGAGGCGTGATCAAGGAGATTTATGAAGAGATCGCTCATTGATTCTTCACCATGACAACACACCAGCACGTACTTCACTTTGAGTGTCACAGTTTTTAGCAGGAAAAGGCATCTTTGACATGGATTATTCATTGTACTCTCCTGACTTTGGTCCAGCTAACTTATGGCTGTTTCCGAAACTCAAAGAGTAAGCTGAAAGGAAAGCATTTCTCAGACATTGAGGGTGTTAAATCATCCATGAAAAAAAGAATGTACAGACATTCTGTTCTGGATTTTGAGAGCTACTTTGAAAAATTGTAGGTTGCTAATATCTGCAGCTCATAAAATAAATTTTTAAGAAATTATTCTTGAAACTTATTTGTCCTGGGATGCAGGAACAGTCCCTGAACTTGAGTGTCAATCAAGAAGATGTGTGATTGCCCAAGAGGATTCTATGTGTTCCTTCATTTAATGTCTGTGTTCTCCTTCCTTGGTTATTTGGTACAATCTGTCCCAAATAGGCATTGCATTCCCACTTTATATTCAAGAGGTCCTGAATTCCAGTCATTTCCTGGTGGCTTGCATTTCCTCCAATTAAAGTTGTCTTACATGACGAATCCATATTATTTGTCTCATGGAGAAACTCAAGAGATACTCACTTTATCACCATCACCCCTAAAATTAAGATTTTTCTGGCCTGTTAAGGGTGTTACAGAATCCTTCCTGATTTGTAGTCATGATACGCTCTTTTTGGTATGTAATTCTCTTTTGGGAACTGATAAAATCTCATTCTTTTGTTATTTTCTCTGCAGTGTTCACAGCATCGTCATCACCACCACCAGTGACAGTTTCATGATTGGGATCCTTCTGGCATATTCTCTGACCAACCACCTTTTTGATTATCTTCCAGCACTTCTTCCAATTGTACTGTCCGATTTATTTACATTGTTTTATTAAATTAACAAGTTTGGTTTTCGAAGAGTTTTCTCTTCTGGGATATAACATCATGTAGTCTGGTGAAAGTCAACTGATATTTTGGAGGAACATACTACCTCCATCTTCAGGGTCAAAGAACCTCAAATCATATGTAATGATATGCTGTAATTCTTTTTCACCAGCAATTATTCAACTGGGATTGAGTGGAAAGTGGCCAAATGATTTATGTGCTATTCAGAGGATCAAAGCTGCATTCTACATTAAGATTGCAGAGGGCCTGTCAGAACAGTTCCACCTTACAGTTCAGCCATATCCAGACTGTGTCCAAATTTTGAAGGTAAATTTGTGCCAATTTCTACGAGACATAGGACAGAAAACACTGTTTCCAAATCAGTGTGACATTAATTCAGCAAAGAAAAATGTATGTAGTGAGACTCTTACAATTCTCCCATGAATGCAGAATTGAAGGTTTTTCTTGCTGCTAGTGTGTGGTAAGTTACTGTATGTGGTGCAATAATTTATCATCCTTTGGCTGCTGGACAAAAATAACAGTAAAGGTTTTGTATTTGTCTTTTTATTCATTATTCCACTATAGCTGCTGTTATCTCGTTAGTTGCCAGTAGTACTGTTAGTGTTGCTTCTGGAAAACTTGTCTACAACAAGATATATGAACATTTTGTGTACTGTTTTCCAGTTGTCATGAAACTAGTACAAGCAATAGAACAAGTATGAATTTTCCAGTTGTTATTTGAATATTCTGATATGATTTGCATAGTAGTTTCATTATTAACAGAAATTCCATAGCTTAACAGGTTGTGCCTTTATGAGATAACTCTCCAAACTGCTTAAGATATAGTATTTTAAATAACTTAAGGATTAAGTTAAAGAAAATGATAGAACTGAGTGGAGTTAGAATTTTCAATGAGACAAGGAGGCAGCATGTTGGCTGGATATGAACAGGAGGAAAGACGCTTGAGGGTGTACAGTAGAGACAGAAAAAACAATGCATTCATTGCCTTGTATTTCAAATGCAATATGAAAATCTCATGAACCAGCCATTAATCGTTAGGTTTCTAGACAACTACTTGTATTTTCACAACTTACAGAATTGCTGTTAGGATCTCAGATAGCTCAGTCAGTATGATAAACAGAGTTTGATTCCTGGCAGGGGCAGGATTTTTCTCTATACCAATTTGTCTGGACTTGCACTGGAACCCACCCAGCCTCCTGTCCCTTGGGTACTGGGCCCTTGTCCCTGTGAGATAAAGTAGGTGGGTCAGGAAGCTGACCACCCACCTCCATTCCGTTTGGTTTCAAGGTTCAGAATGTATGGAACTGTACCTTCACTTCCCCATATATATCCACCATGTGGTGCGTAGTTAAGCATTGTAATATGTCCATATGGTATAATGCTTAATAAAGCATGGAGATGGGCTAACTTTCTACAGAATTGTCATCAGGAATGGGGTTGCAGTGAGTTCATTGCATGGGCCATTGCCTGTGTGAACTTTGTAAATCAGTCTTTCACTGAATACAGTACCACTACACTCCCTGAAACATATCATTCTTATAAAATGACAACTCACATGAAAAATGTGACTGTGTATTCGCACTTCAAAACTATTCAATACTCATGTATTCGGGGAGTTTTTATATTTTTGTTTTCTGTAGAGGTTTGACTGTGTTTGAGAGAGAGAGACACACCTCTTGGGGAAATCTAATTCTGTGCTTATTTACAAGCATATGTCTATCACTAATGAGCAGTAAATGTGTTACATTCGAAAGATTAATGCGATGTCTGGTGCTCATTCCAAATATGGCGTCTGTTTATAGGATGGTTTCGTGTTTTGCTTACATGTGGCATACCAACGTGAAATATCTCTCCTTAAAGAGACAACCACTCCAGAGGGAGTTACCAAGTACAGAGACACAGAAGAATCACTTGCACTGGAGAAGAGCATTGTTCACCTTCCGAAACTGACGAGTTCATTGCATGGGTTAGTTGTATATCGGATTTTAACAAATTCACATTTTCTTATGTGTGATAAACCCTCAAGCTAGATCACACACAGACTAAAGTATTACTAATAAGAATCACCCACCACTTTTCTTGTGAAAGTATAATTTTGTTCAAGAGTTGGAACTTTAATAGTTGCAACTATTTATTTACAACTGGTACAAAATAGATCCATGTTTCGAAGTTTTACTGTCCTTCAGTGTAGTCACCAGCATCGTGTACAGCCTGTTGCCAGTGATGTGGAAGTCGTAGGATACCTTTAGCAGTGCCTGTTGTTTTGATTGTTCAAATGGAGCAGTCTGCTGCCTGAAGAATCTCTGGAACAGTTCTGAAGTAAATGCCACAAAGTGGTTCCTTCATCTTAGGAATCAAATCGAAGTCACAAGGGCTTAAGTCTGGGGAATATGGTGGATGGTACAGCACTTCCCAGCCCCATCGATTGAACAAATCAGCCACAGCTTGCGCTGCATGCGGCTGAGCATTGTCCTGCAGAGTGACGGGTGGGTTCTGCAGAAAGTGTCACCACTTCTTTCTCAAAGCTGGTCGCAGGTTGTGTTCCAAAAATGAACAGTAATACTGCACATTGATGGTCTGCTGTCAGGTAACTGTATGCATTAGGATAACACCATCACAGTTGTACATGAGAATCACCATAACTTTCACATTGCTGGGGTTCTGACAAACATTTTATTTTCGTGGTGACCTGTAATGATGCATTCATTTGATTGGCGTTTCATTTGTGGCTCGTACAATTTGGCCCGTGTCTCATCCAGTGTAATGATATGGTGTATGAAAGCCTCTCCTTTGCGCTCATAGTGCTCCAAGTGGTTACAAGCAGTGTCATATCGTAGCCACTTCTGCATTTCCATCAAATCATGCGGAACCCATCGTGATGCAGTTTTTCTCATGCCCAGACATTCATTCAGAATGTGAAGCACAGTCATATGTGCTGATCCTGTCTCTTGGGCAAGCTCACGAATTGTATGGCGTTGATCACTCTCCAGTAACGTGGAAAGAGCATACACTTCTTCACTGACTCTAGGATGACCTGGCCAACGCATGTCTACCACATTTTGGCATCCCTCGTTGAAGGCTTTTACCTGCCTTGCCACTGTTCTGTAAGGCACTGCAGATTCCCCGCAAGCCTCTTGAAGACCTTGATGACACTATTGTGCTGTACAGCCTCTTGCACATTTAATCTTTATGCAACTGCGTTGTTCCTGTTTCAAAAACATCGTGACAACACTACATTAGACCGCTAGCTAACACGAGGCTCTGTTCTTCTCATCACTGCGCATGCGCGTGATGTGAGAAGGGAGAGTCCATTTGCTCTGAGGCAAGGTAGGTATGTAACTAACGTGTGGTATAAGCGACATTATTTGGTTCCGTTGCATGTCGTCTCTACAGCAGTGTAACCACTATTAAAGTTCCAACCTCATATATAAGAGCAAGTTTGGAAGTGTGAATGTGTTTTATAGGAGCTCTGCTACTTGTTTCTGCATGTACCTTTGTTTTCACTGACCAAGTTTTGAAGACATTTGGTGTTGCCGATAACCCAAAACTGTGTTAACTATATTCAGTTTTTGATATCTGTGAACATTTATGATTACTGCTTTATTTGAAACCCCATTTTGGACATCAAAATATTGTGGAATGCAGACTCATTTCTGGGCAAAGACAGCGAGATAAGCAAATATACAACAGCCATAAATATGTAACGGCTTCTCAAACAAGAGTGTTTCCATGGCAACAATTGGATACAGCAACACAGGAACTGTGTTTTCTATGGTCCGTGCTGAGATGTTATAAGCATGACAGTGAAGTCAGGTGAGTAGTTGAGTTGGGTTGAGTTGGTTGGTTGGTGAGTGACTCAGTCAGTGAGTTATAGCATTGCTGTTTAAGACTGAAACATTATTAAATTCTGAATACTTGTTACATATCTGACATTTTCTTTTGTTTATGATAGCCTGCACCAACAGTGCTCATCATATGGTCCAACTTGTTGCCTTGCGAAGCGTTGGATGTCATCACAGTTGCTGGATCCTCACCACTTCCCAGAAATGTGTATTGAGTTGTTAGTCGCATCCCTTTACCTGATGCCAGAACCATATCAGCCACCAAACCAGCCACAGCTTGGGTTCTTTCGGTTCCTTCACCTTTTGGCTCACACCAACTGGCAGACTGAGCCTGTTATTCTCAACCTAAATGCTGAGATGACCAGTGAGTATTTTCTTAGTGTTGAATCTATCAGTTTCTGTATTTATCATGGCATATGTGTGGTACTAGTTTCATTCCGTGGTAGTATGGATGTTTATCATAAAACACAACCATTTAATTATATTAATTGCTGGGATGCTTACATGAAGCATTTCAAAGACAGTGTGCAAGAATACAGAACTAAACTAGTATTTACAATCATCAGTTTTAACACTTTCACTTCCAGCACTTTCTCAGGTGGCTTACCTGCCAGCCAACCATTTTTAGCAGTATTTCACAATAAAGAAATGAATACTGAATGAACTGAATGAAAAAGAAGTACATATCCAAAATCACGAAATGTAGCTACAACCACCTTCTAGTGATGGTGGAAGGTGCTGTTTGCTCAGAGGCGCGGCCAGAAAAAAAAAAACACCTTATCAAAGCATAAACTTAAATTACCAAACATATCTTTGGAGTTTTGGACATGTATATGGTAAATGATTATGACTGTTTATGAGAGTGAAGGTGTTCTATAAATTTAAATGATCATGTTTTCCTTTTCAGTCTATTCTCTGTTTGGTAGTTTCCATTATATTTTAAAGAATTTGTACTGGACTCTTTATTGTTGTAAATGTTCTATCATACTCCTTGTTTTCAAATAAAAAAGAGGTTATCATTTTGTTTAAATGAAAAGGTGCCTTACAACAAATTCATATATTAAATTCAAAAGGAAAAAAATATTAGGTATATTTTAGTTGTTCCACAAGGGAAGATGTGCTTGTGAATGGAATAACTGAGAAAGGAAGAAGCACCTGCTAGAGAGAGGTTCAACATAAACATTAACAGGAGACGGAATCATGTTATTCTATACTGAGTCCACCAGTTGTCATCAGGATGGTTTATGGTGATGAAGTATACAATGCTTTTTCTTGTCAGTGTCGAAATGCTGTTGCTTATGTGAGTTCTGTTTTTTCTCCACTGCACATTTAAATATGCAAAGGGTTCACATATAAGGACCAAGGAATATTAAGTCTTTTTGTATTACATAGGAGAGCTGGGATAGTATAGTGACAGCCTAGAGTCTGGTTGACTGCAATTTGAGTCCTACCAGAGACACTGACTTTTCTTTTTGCCACCACATCTAACCCTTTGGGGGGGAGGGGAGGTAAGGTGACTGGGGCAGGTAGCTAACCATTCTGGTCTGTCTATGCAAAGGTTAAGACTAATATAGCTTTCATTTCTGCTTTACATAGGTAGTTCCAAATTGGGAACATTAAATTTGCTTAGAAACATATTCTTTTTTAGTAAAGTGATGTGTTGCAGACTAGATGACCAGGGCTCCGTTCCAAGCAAGGATGTTGATTCTTCATACTTTCACCATGTCCAGAATATCCTTGGGATTTAGTAGCTTCTTGTCGAAGGGGTACACGGGGTTTTTCCCTGGAAGTTACTGATTGGCAGATAATGAAGCTGATGGCACATACATCTAGAGCTGAGGTTGTGAATGCATGGACCTATACTGCCATGCCCCTTGTATGCTTCCATGCCTCTGTACTCATAACAGAAATAAATTTAAGTTTACAACTTAGAAACTTGGACCCTCTGAACCATGTAACTTCACTATTCAGATGTTTGTATCTGGGTTGGCATGCCTGTTATTTTGGGACAGTTGGCTCCTGGTTATAATTTGAAATTTGTCTTCATTATGAGGAATAATTACACCATCTTTTATATACAGTTTGGCTATAGTTTAAGGCTTTCACCAATAGTTAAGAATTTGTGTAAAAAAGTCATCCTACAATATTCTTCTGTGTGTGACTCCTTGTGTCTACAAATAATACTGTGACGTGTCAACTCATTGCCAGGCAACGGCTCGATAAACACCCTAAAATGCACAGATGAAAGAATGGAACTGTAACGCCGTGTCTGTGTTATGTCAGAGTGCCCCCCCCCACTACCTTCCCCCTTCCACCGTTCCACTTCCTGGTTCCAGATGGCTGAGGTCCAACAAGAGTGATCCATTCTATTGTGGGAGCTTGAACTGTTCAGTCGATTCGCTCTTTTCCTGGTCTGTACAATTTTGATTAGTTGATTGCCGGAGGCCCATTACCTCCACGGACTTACATTGTATTCGCATTTAGTATTTAATATATATATTGTTATTTGATATATTTGTTATAGTGTCTTTGAGTTGGTACATCCTACCCAAAAACCAAATTTTGGTCTTCAAGACCTTTTCACCTTTCAGAACAGTGTTATGCAACCCACTTCTAGGCAATGGCTCAGTAAACACAGTTCTGCACAGGCACAATGATGAAACACAACAGTGGATAGCGACCACATGATGTGTTTTCTGTAGGTCCGCTCCGAAGGTTTATAGGGGACAACAAAGGTCATTTGCGGGCAGTTATAAGCTGGAGGAGTGAGTAATAGACAAGAGTTTTTAGTTGAGTTCTGAGGTTCCAGGGTGATTGAAGGTCACTGAACAAGAAATGGCAAGAAGGCTTCATAGTGATTAGAAGTGTTAAGTTTCTCCACTGAGACCTATTGCCAGGAGACGACTGATGAAGAGAGAATCCTAGTGTGTGTGGAACGGTGAACTGGAAAGTGTGTAAATCAGTGATAGCACTGTGTTGATTGTAATTAAGAGAGATCTTGTAACCAAAGTGCTAATAAATCCAATTATCTGATCCAGAACCCATTATTTTCGTCACATTTACCCCCCACCCTGACATGTGACAGTACTTTCTCAGAAATCTACAGAGATGTCAGTACACAGGGCAATACAGTATTTTGTATCAATATAGTCATGCTGGATTTTTTTTCTTTGTGCACTGTATAAACCTGATGTGGGAGTGTCAGCTGATAATGTGGTACCTGGTTGTTAAAGGGTTAATGATTAGTTCTGTTTCATTTTCCTCTTGAAACACTTTTTGTGTCCTTCATATATGTTAAGTTCCTCATTTCAGTATAGTGTAACTGATTCTGTCTGCAGGAGAAGATATCCTGGAAATTGAAACATGGTTTCACAGTCACCGCTCTACATTGCCTCCTTTGTTCTTATCAACGCCATATGACAAGAAAAATTCCATCTGGACAAAGGAAGCTCCATCTCTGCAGATACTTATACGTGCGGCCATGCTTGCTGGGGAGGCTCTTAGAGTTATAGAAAGCCTGTTGTTCTCAGCCATAAAATCAGATTGGAAGGTTAGTTTACATTGATGTCAGGGCACATCAACAGCAAAAGGCATTAGTGTGTGTGGAAAGTTACTACATAAAACATTAAATGGAACATTTATGACAGCTCTTTCTGCAACAGATCCTTTGTACAGTTAGTGCTGAGTAATATATACGGGATCTGTGCCCTGGTGCTTGACTCAGATTCTCCAACATAAATTCATAAGGACATATACATATCATAAGTGCTCAGCATAAACTCTAAATGTCATAGGTTATAGACACTAAATGGGCACTGATACAGTAACTAAAAAGGATTACTGTGAAGAAAGCAGTCTTCTGGGATGTGGCACCATGTAGATGTGGTGTTAACCAACGTTTCGGAGGAACGTATTGCCTCCTTCAGGGAGACTGATTGCACCAGTTCTCACGGTCTGTTCGCTTGCAGATTTCTTATTTTTCCTTCTACCCTGAATATGGAGGCGATACGTTCCTCCGAAACGTCGGTTAACACCACATCTACACGGTGCCACATCCCAGAAGACTGCTTTCTTCATAGTTACCGCCGTTAAAACCTCAAATCTTACAGAAAGGATTACTGCATGAAATGAGTGAAATCTGGCAACTACATCTTACCTTGGAACTTGCATATTAATAGCATGTCGGATACAATAACATTTCTGAGTCCAGCATAATTTTAAGCTGAGTGAAAGCTCCAAAAGTTAGAACTGAATAAATTGAGCCTACATTGAATTTTGGGTTAGGAGGTTGGAGGAGGCAGTTCATTGCTGACACAGAAAAACTTCATATCATGCGTTTCTTTGTGTTCTTGCAGCAAATCTTTCGGCCATCTCTAGAAGCTTTTGATGTGCTAATACATTTGTTCCCCAAGCTGAATTCTCGTCGCTATGAAGCAGTGGATGTAAAGTCTGACAAGTCAAATTGTCAGCTTCAGTCTTATCTCAAAGAGCCTGGAGAAAAGATCCCAGTTACAGGCTTCAACCCTGTTAACTGCTTTCTAGCAGAGCTAAGGGTAAGCACATATAAAAGACTGGAAGTATTACTTTTAACTGTCATTTTTCATTGTAAGAACTCCATTACCTTGTAAATGGAACAGTTTTTATTTTATGAGCCATTATATCATTCCTAAAAGAAAATTTTGCACAACTGATGTGAATGACATCAATGATAGGTGTTAAAATGTCCACTTTATTATTAATTTACTTCAAAATGAGATATGTTAGGCATAAGTCAAGCTCTGTATGGCATACAGTGGAATATACTTCACTGCTTTCAGTCTTAAACTTGTTTTTTTTTTTCTTCTCTTCCTTTGACCTAAGTAACTGAATGTTCTGCATTTGTTTCATATAAGGATTTATACATTTTAGTATTCATATCACACTCTGTCATCTGCCACTGTTATAGTATGTCAAATAAGATCCACTGGCCCCCTGAGAAATACTGAATTGGGTTTTGCTGTGATGGGAAGTATACATAACCAACAAAGAATAGAGTATAGCATATGTATGTTAAAATAAATACATTTATGGTCTAGATTGCTAGGAAGTGAATATTGGTGTCCCAGCATCTTATGCGATATAATATTTTGCATTTAAGTATTAATTTCATGTTCTGTGTTTCCTTGTAGGAGAATTACAGTGATTATGCACTATTTTTCTATGATATGTATGGAGGTAATATCATTCCTGTACTTTGGAAGCCGTCAGCCTTATTGCCAAAAGATTTTAAAGTAAGTAAATGCCAAGTCTTGTGAAATTGGTATTTCACCATTAGAACTGTGCTGAAGCAACCCAGACTTGAGGACTCTAATGCTGAGTAAATTTCCCAAACATGACATAAATTAGAATATTTGAATTTGTTGATAATAAAAATATTGGAATATTACATATTCTATAAATAAATAATTCAGTGTTTTATATAAGATAAGAAAATAAACACAATTTTTTTGTTTTGTTAAATGACTTATTCATGTCTTGCCCTGCACAGTTTTTAGAAAATGCTTGTATTCTTAAGATTATGGTCTTCTGGAAAGTAGCGCCATGTAGCTGGATAGTGTTCCTGTTGCATCTTCAGAACTCACTATTACTCTCATTGCATCAGTATTTCAGTGTGTAGTGGGATAATGCAGAACACTGAGGTACATTAGAAACAATTAAAATACATGGTCATTATGCTAAAGGCAGGGTGTTGCATTTTGGCCTAAGTTACATATGTGAAGAACAGGACTTTTTTTAATCTTTGTCTTCAAATAATTGTGTAATTGCTGTGAAAATGTCTTATGCTAGGTGCAATTGTTACATTACAGTTCAAGAGTGTTATATAAATTATTGGTAGTAGAAGTTCTTAAGAATCACTTGACTCTGTTTTATATTTCTATTGACAGATCCTTGACACTTTTTTTTTTCTTTTCAATTTCAGGTGTCACATATAAACTGTCACAAACCTTCTAAAGATGGTTCCAAAGTTGAATTGAATGTTGATGCAATTATAGATGATTTCTATATTTTGGGAAAGGGTGTTGTTTCAACCATTGATGTGAAATCTGGCAGTGCACTGTGAAGAATGTCACTGCTGAAAGAGGTGAGAACGTGCTTAAGAGGGAAGCCCAATTTTAATAAAATAGAACACATGATCCTTGTTCACGTTTTTATTTGGGGGTTACTGTTATGGTAACGTGTGACAAAATGACAGTATTCAATATGTTTTATCTGTATATTTAAATGTTTACTTCAGTGTCATGTGAGTGTATTGGTGCCAGGGACATTATTTTATTTTAGAAGTGGAACAAATAACTACCAAAAATTTTCCTGGCTCAATTAAAATTCTGATAATTATAATGAAACATAACGTTGAGGTTTGTTTTGATTCCATTCTGAACTTCGAAGTATATTAGGTGGATAATCCTCCTTGAAGTTAAAAGCTGAATTTTATATTGGCCTTTTATTAAGGACATATCGTGATGGTTTTATGTTGCACACTACTGTTGGAAGTATTCTAGGAGGAAAGAGAAGTGATAAATTGAAAGTGTAAAAGTAAGATAGAAGATTAAAGATAAAATATTGTAGGATAATTTTGGAACAAGTAAACATTGCTGTATACCCTGTCTCCAGGGTGAGGTATTGTGGGTTCTGCAGTCACCTTGGTGAAGCAGTGGTTGGAGCTGGCACATGAACTTGAATGTGTATAGTGCAAAAGCTCCAGAGGAGTATCATTAATGACTTGTTTATTACAAAAGATTGAATACAGATTGGACAGCCCTTGATTTCAAGTAGATACTGTAGGGTTCTGACGATGGTGTATAACACACAGAGACTTTGTCCATCATCCGGATTCTAAATAATTAAGAAAAAAAACGTTTCGGAAACTGAATCTGTTTCCATCCTCAGGTGAGGGAAGACACCTACTCTGTTGGGTGTCCAGTGATTGAGTCTAGCTCTTTCTAAGGGACCCAACAGAGTATGTGTCTTCCCTCACCTGAGGTCGGAAACAGATCCAGTTTCCGAAACATTGTTTTTTTTTTCTTAATTATTTAGAATCCGGATGATGGACAAAGTCCGAAAACCCAGTATCCCTTGATTTCACCTATAATAACTATGTAAGCTGGGACAGCACCTACTTTTGGCAGTGTCAAGAATTTTAGGACTCTGTGCTTATTGGGACTAATAATGCTTCCACCTCCTGTATTTGTGGAAATGCAGTCTTACTGCTATGGGTGTGACATCATAGAGATGTTCTCTGTCAAGATGGAGTGACCTCCAGTAGGATGTACAGAGAAACTATAAATCATGTTGTTGATGTCTTTAACATTGATCTGACACATATATTGAACATTTTTCATTGTCTTCTTTTGTTTATGGACACATTTCTGAATCTGAATCTGCTTTCATCAGCAGGTAACAGTATTAGATGGAGCTAAACCCAATCCCAGGACCAGGGTAAGGAGTGAGGCAAGGTGCCAGAGGTTTTAGGGAAGAGAAATTGAGATACAGTTAATAAATTGGAAAAATGTATACAGGAAGTGGATTACTGTCCTGTTCAGAGATGGAGCAACTTTACAGAAAGAGAATGATAATGACGGATGTTCTGAATCATCATCATCATCGATCAGAGTGGGCCATCTAACAGTGCCCTATCCAGTCTCTTCTGCCTCCCATAAGCACTTCCATTATTTATTTATATATCCACTGACCCTACTGTGTAATCTTCTCAAACTTAGGCCATCTCTGTTGTCACTGCTGTCCCTAATGGCTTACTTATTCATCATCTTTATATTTGGAATCTCTTGGACCCTTTTGTCATCCATATGTAACACCTGTCCATGGTAGTGCATCCTTAATTTCAACAACTTTTTGTGTAGTGTTTTAACCTTCATATGTTTCCTAAGTCATAGTATCAGGTTGTATCCCTTTCCCATTCTTTAATTTTTATATGGAAGTTTATTGATAAATCAAGCCTGCATGTACATGAGTGGTTTTATATTTGTTAATAAAAATAACAAAGTTTTGCAAAACGTTGCCTTTTGGGAATATTGTGGCCTTCATTCACATGTGTGTGACATCCATCCACCTGACTGCCTCTGATATATCTGGAGTACCCTTTGTATACAGGGTGTTGTATTATACTTGGAGTTGCTATATACGAGTTTGTTTTTCCTGTTAAACACGATATATACCAGACAACTTGCTTACATTTCACTGTGCATAACTGAGTTTATTGGTTGTACAGTGTCACAACATGTTTCAGCTAATGCAGCCATCATCAGGCAGTACATTAACAAACCACATACAGTAGTTACTATAGGGTTTTGACGATGGTGTATAACACACACAGATACTGGATTTTCGGACTTTGTCCATTGTCCGGATTCTAAATAACTAAGAAAAAACGTTTCGGAAACTAGATCTGTTTCTGTCCTCAAGTGAGGGAAGAAACCTACTCTGCTGGGTCCCTTAGAAAGAGGGGTCAGATTTCAAGTCCAGGTAGGGTCAAGAATTTTCTCTTCAAATCGTCCAGGCCGGCTCTGGGGTCCACCCAACCTGCTATCCAATGGGTACAAGGGGCTCTTTCCCCTGGGGGTAAAGCAGCTGTGGTGTGAAGCTGACCACTTACCTCCATCTAGTGCCAAGGTGAAGAAAATGTGGATATATATGTCCACTGCCCCATACTCCTTCATGGTGCAGTGCTTAATACGTTGAGCACAGGGACAACCTTACCTTGCCTTATATGGATCCATATATGTACTTTTCACTGTGTGTTACAATAAACTGAAAAATATGGTGTGCTTCTTTCTCTTTTGTTAATAACCCTTATATGCACAGATTAAGTGGTTGTTTTATACTGCTTTAAAAATGTGTTAAATATTTCAAACTGGTATATCCAACTGATTGGGATAAAATTAAATAAAAATTAAAATTATATATAGATGTCCTGTGTTGGTCACTGGAACCCAACAGGCGATCAAAGCAAACGTGTTAGCGTAAGCTTGAATATAGATTACAGATCCATCAACTCAATTATAATCAGATTGTGGAGGGACATGATTAAGGACACAACATAATTTAACATCATACAAGGAAACGCCAAGATACTAAGCTCCATAGCCATCCTAAGAAAACATTAAATGAACTTAGGAGCAGAAACACAGCCAGTCATGATAGAATATCAATACATTATAGACAACATAAGCCATGACAGTTGTATCATATATACAGCATTCAAGATTAAGCAAAAACTATAAGTCAAAATGCAGTCACAGTGACAGTGGAAAGCCCATCATGACCAGCAGAAAAAATCTGTACATAATTTTAATTGTATTTAAGCTAAGGGCTAATCACCACCAACTAATGCAGAGGTCAAGAATGTGGATCTAGACATGCACTCCCCCATATGTCTTCATGGCATAGTGCTTAATTAGTTATGCACAATGACAACTTTGCCTTTTTAAGGAGGAAGCAATTCAGTCTAGTGTCATCTCATGTGTGGTGCTGTTTGTTAAAATGTTTCTGTCTGGATATGCCTATGCAGGTTACTTGTAACTGTTCCAAATTGTGTTCTTTCAAGGTAGGCATTTATTATCATGAAGCAATGTATAATGAAAATCGTTGCTGTAACCGCACCATTGAAATCCTTCCCCTCCCCCTCCTTTTATTTCAGTAGCTGATAGAGTAGATACTAAGAATTATGAAGAAACAGAGGTTTAAGACACAGTCAGAACAAGGAGTAGGCGATGAGCAGATAGACCAAACTTGTGCGGACAAGGACTTATGCTAGTCCTTGTGTCCAAGCATCTGGTGTTATTTTCCAGAAGGGCAGAAATTATACTTCAAGGAACCCCACTGAGTTTCTTTAGAAATTGAGAATTTGACTTACAGCGGCAAGACACTTTGAGAATTCGAGAAGTGACAGTTTCTACCAGCCGTAAGTCAAAGGTGGGAGTGCCAGGAGATCATTAGCGACCCCTCATAAGTTGCATCGCTGTCACTTTCGCTGTTTGGTCTTTTAAGGCGAGATTCCCTCTAAAACAATCGGTCATTGGCCAGAATCAAAATTAAGCCAACTCATCTTATTTGAATCAGCCTATCAGGTAAATTAGGAGGAGAGGAGAACAGGCGGATACAACGTAGTTAGGATCTCTGGCTTGGCAGACAGTCCATTCTAAGATTTTTAGTCATCTATCAACTTCAGAACTTGGCGGAGGCAAATCCCGCATCTCATGCGCCAAAGAAAATTCTAAGTACCACATTTTTCTCGTAACAACTCATACCGGGATTTGGCTTAATCCATAAGCGGACAGGTGTAAGTCGAGCTTATCGTGTACAATTTGTGCAAGTGCAACACCAGCTGCTTGAAAGCCGAAACTGGATCTGATTGTGTGAATTTGTACAGCCGAGTGCCTGTAAGAAGAGCAATAAAGTGTTGTAGTGGCACAGTGAATTGTGTTTTTTAGAGGTGCTGCACCCTCGCTTGTCCGAGCCTGACCGGTAGCTGACCTAAGGAGAGACTCATCTCCACTAGGTAGTCAAACCCATCACCAGCTTTCACCCACTCACACCTTCCCCCCTTTACAATGAATCGCAAACCGCCACTAGCTGTTTGCTGGCGCCCATAACAGCAGGTCCCATCCTGAAATTCAAACCCCCTGTAATCTCAATGGAAGGATGAAGCGGTGGAGCCTGGTCAAGCCAGAACCAGCCATGACCTAACAACTTCAGCAGTGGCAGCACCAGGTAGGGCAGTCAAAAGTGACGCCGAACGTGTAGGCCAGCAAGACGGAAGGTTAAATTGCCAAGTGTGAAGGTTAATATGAGATTAAGACTATGCAGAATTAAAAATAAAGTTATTCATATAGGGATTGTTGGGGCCAATGAATAAAGAAGGGATGTGCTAGGAATCACGTCTTAAAGGAAACTGCAAAATTAGAGATATCTACCTGCATGAGATTGAATAAATTTTGTTATTTATGTTTTTGGCAGAGTATGTTTGCCTAACTGAAGGGTAATTTGTCAGTCTTGGTATTTGTGGTTGGTTCCCCAGTTGTAATGACTGACATGGATGGTATTTGCTGCAAGGACGCATCTACTATGATGTACCATTTAGGTTGAAATAAAGGCTTAAAGCCCATGTTGAACCCTCCCTCCCTACCAGTTTTCATACTGTGTATTTTGTAATAGTTTCTGGACTTTTGTTGATTATCCGAATGAAGTTTTTCATTGTGTTTTTCATGAATGTGTAATATACCGTTTTATAGGATTTGGTTTGTTTTCAGATCCATCTTAAGTTGAACTCTGCCCTTGTAATAATTTTCAGTTTGGTTCTGTTTACTTTTCCCCCCAGGCCTTTTTTACCATTTCACCATCTCTTCATATTTGTGTGCACTTTGGGTTTGCAGCATTTAAATTTGTAATGGGCTGTGAGTTGTGTGAATATACTGAGAGAATATGAAGCCTTGGGTATCAATATAGAATTATCTATTTAGGTTGTGATCAGTATAAGAGTATTTTAAAGTAGCGGATTTGTAATAGAAACTGTTTGGATATTTTCTCTCCAACCCCCCCATGCAATACATTTCATGTGAAGTATGCAAGTCCAAAGTTGCTTCAAAATGAGATGGTTTGATAAGAGCTTTCCCAGTTGTTTTTTTTTTTGTTCATTTCAATTATGGTCTGTAGTGGTACATCTATGATTTTAATAAAAGGTGGATTTTAACAAATTCTTATTGAAATATAAAACCAATATGTCTACAGTCTTTTATACCCAGCAGACTATTCTGAGATGCAACTACTCCTGTAAATGTTACATTTTCACACTTAATCGTTTCTATTCTCACGAGTATCAGCATGAAACAATACAGCATTATCTTATGAAAATCAGTCACCATTCTCCCATTATCAAACCATCTAATTTTACTGAAATCTGGAAAGTCTTTTATTTTACCAAGTGTCATCAAACTTGTTAAGATAAGTTGTTACTTGCATTCCAGAATTCCCACTTACCACATGACACAATTTCACGAGTTTTACCACGAATAAATTTGAAAAAGAATAGTAAAATTGTCTCCTTACTAAGGAAGGCATCACACACAGTACGGATTCAGTCACTGTACTATACTATAATATACTGTACTGAGTGTACTATTGTAGAAATATGCTCAGAGGATACTACGAGAAATACTGCTTGTTTCCAGGAAAAACCAAAGTGAAAGCATTAGTGAAAACAAAGGATGAAACTTCAATTAATATGTGGGTACATTAGGACCAGTAATTAGCTCATAAATCTAAACACAGGTATTTTTTATCCGTTTGAATTATTTACATAAGACACAGTCATGTAGCGTTGAGAAAATAATTAGTATTCACATAATTTGCTGACAGTTTGTGTACATGAAGTGGTAGAAAAAGACACAATAGGGCTCACCCAAACTCTTAGTAGTAATGAGAAGACTCAGAAATGATCATCTTTGGTACTTTGCTGTTCATTCAAATAAAAATATAACCCAAATAGAACACAAAGTTAGGTAAATAAATCAACTGAAGACTATAGTAAGTCTGAAACAGATACTTGACCATAATGAAAGGAGCAAGTTGTAGTTGTTTTCATATCCAGCAGTAATGTGGATTTAAAATAAGAAATGCATATAGGAACTGAACTATTTTAAAGATGACACACTACACAGACATTATCACACAACAGTCTGTACAGATGTTAAAAGTGGTAACTATGTACAAGAATGGACTTACTCAAAACAACACGTATTATTCTATAGTTGGTCATTTCACATATACCCATTGTATTCTCTGTTGTACTCTTAAATGACATACAGTGAAAGAAAGTAAACAATTAAAACAGACAGAAATGTAGTGAGTCCTGTTACAGTCCTCTGCTGCTATAAGAATGTACAGTTAATCCACATGATAGGTAGCAACTTGAAGTGCAACCTATTCTGCTGCAGAAGGCTGTAAGTTAAGAGCATAACCCTACAGATCACAAATATTATTGGAAACTGTTCAGTTACAGT